TGTGTGGTTAAGTTATATATATATATATATATATGTTTATGGTAGACATTTACTTTAAGCAACCCAAAAAAAAAAAAAAAAAAAAGTTGCAATTGTAAATGGTTTTAAACAAAAAAAATCGACGGAATACGAAAACCTTAAAACCAAATGTGGTTAAAATGAGAACCAAAATAAAAAGTTGTAGTGTTTAGTAGCTTGTGGCCCCCATTGTAAACAGTATTTCGGCCGCCTGCTTTGTCGTCTCTCTCCTCCTCCTTCTCCTCCTCCCTCCACCACCGTCGTTCTTTTGTGTTTGACTCTCTCTCTTATCCTTCCCTCCTCAAACTGGCAAAAACCACCCTCTCTACAATCCTCTCTCTCCCCACCCCTTCCTTCAAATCCCACTTTTCTTCTGTGTTTTTTCTTTTTTTCATCAGACAAGTGTCTCATCTTCTTCCAGAACCCAGAAAAGATCAGTTATGTGTGGTCAAACGCTCTTCCTTTTCAACATCTTTCCAACCCTTTAATCCCTGCAACCTTTTCTTCTTCATCCATGGCCGGTAGTAATGAAATCAACGCTAATGAAGCCAAGGTAATTTCTACTTCATCGATTCATTTTCTAATTTTGTTTTTCTTTCTCCTGATTCACCTGGGCTTTCTTCCTTTCTCTTACCTTTTTCTTCAATGGGATTTTGATCGATTCATTTGGTAATTTTGTTTTTCTTTCGATTTGGGGGTTAATTTTGTGTGTTTCTTTCGATTTGGGGGTTGAATTTTGTTGGGTTTCCCCCCTTTTGTTCGTGGGTTTTGTTTTCTTTTGTTTTGAATCTTTGGATGGTTTCTGATTTTTACCCATTTGTGATTCGATCAATTTGTTAAATCATTTGGGATTTTTTCCAAATTTATATCAAGTTGTTCTGATTTTTGTTTCTAACTTTGATAGAAAGTGGTTCCGCTTCATACATGGATCTTAATCTCCAACTTCAAACTAGCTTACAATATGCTCCGGCGACCGGACGGCACTTTCAACCGTGAGTTAGCTGAGTTTCTTGATCGCAAAGTGGCGGCCAACACCGTTCCGGTGGACGGTGTGTACTCTTTCGACGTTGTCGA